CGGTTTTAATTTGGCATGTAAATAGTTACCTTGGTGTGGATATTGAGCGACATGTGGTTATCCCACTGCAGCTAGCCGGTTCGCCGTGCGCCCTACACGGAAGTTGAAACGACGATATTAAATCCCGACCCTCCGCTGTCCACGGAGCAGTATAAATGTGAGGGTACTCCGTACAACTCATGGGTGCCACGTGAGATGTTAACTACCTCGCTTGGTCGTTGTTTCGATCGAGACTCCGACGCCTGCTGTATATTCGGAGTTTGCGGTGTCTCTCTTTCCCCCGTGGTCGCGTGGATTTTCCTCCGGGCCCTGCGGGTTTCCTCTGCAAATGTAGAAACACGCAGTGCGGAGCATTTTGCTGCTATAAATGTCCACGCGATAAGCCACTTCCTTGCGCTATCATTTGTGATAGCCAGGTTGCTTCTGAAGAGAAGGGCTATATAGCTCAGTGGGGCATTATCTGATAAAATAAAATAAATATTTTTAGTTTATTGCAAGTGAAACAGTTGACCAAATGGCCAGAAAGAGGGGGGGGGGGGGGGAGCTTTTTTATTTTATCAAACTCCCTTGCAACGGCAGAGGAGTGAAGAGAAATAAATTGCAGCGCTGCACCTTGACTTCACGGGAAAACATTATATTCTCATTTTTCCTCTCAGAACAATGCCTCGTGTGGTCAACAGGTCACACCTTTGTCATGCATATACTATTTAATAGGCCGTACATGTATATATTATGTATGCATGTCAACGCGGAAGTTAGGAATCAATTACGAGCCAAATGCAAGGTGTATTATTTACTCGGAGACTGGATAATAGTCTAAACTCGCATAAACCAGCATGCAAATAAAATCATTGACAAGAAAGTTAACGCAAAACATCATGGCGTGTGCCATTTGGAGATTCGGGCTGCCAGTAATTTAACCACAATGATAATAAGTTACATTTATGTGTAAGTTGCTTTCCACTAATGTCTCAAGTCGTCTGTGTAAAAAAAAAAAAACCCGGTCCAGACTTTTGCTTGCATCAAACCAAACGACGCTGATATTACGCGCACACAGAAGACTGTGCGGCTGATGGGACATGTAAAATATATATGCTGATGTTCATCTATGTGAAGGGACAGATTTGTTGTCTCTGTTCACGTAACAAACCTTACTAATTGGCTGTGTCGGGTGGCGGCGGGTTTAACGACACATTTATATTTATGCGATCTAATCCAACAAAAAAAACCCCCTCTATTACAGAGACAAACTGCGTGCCTATATAGGTCACCATACGTCGATGGTGATTAACTGTGCGCAGACAACAACAGGTGTTGCGCTTTCTTGCGCTCCAAAACGGCAGGATATGCACGCATGGCGTGCATGCATCATGTTCATGCATCATGTATGTCCATTACCTTATGAATAACCCAACCGGTAATGAGATACCCATTGTAATTTACATGCATATGTAAAGACGACTTGACACACTTCTCTTGAGTGAAGACACGTTCACTTGACATCAGGCGGAGACCCCCACTGCAACAGCCCCGAGTCTCGCGCGCATCTCCCCCTTTTATACCGACACGAGGCCACGCCCCCCTTCTCGATCATTCTCGCAGACTCTGGACGCTCGCTCCACCGGCAGACTCCACCGTCCTCTTCCATCGCCTGACCACGCTCCGTTCTCGATCATTCCCGTAGCCACCGGTCCCTTCGCACTCACAACTGCCTTCCCTGTCATTACCTCCCGTAGGCACCAGTCCCTTCGCACACACAACTGACTCCCCTGTCATTGCCTCCCGTAGCCACCAGTCCCTTCACACTCACAGCTGACTCCCCTGTCATTACCTCCCGTGGTCACCAATCCCTTCGCACTTACAACTTGACTTCCCTGTCATTACCTCCCGTAGCCACCAGTCCCTTCGTACTCACAGCTGATACCCCTGTCATTACCTCGTGTGGCTACTCGTGCATTCGCACTGTAGGCTGACTCACCTGTCATTACCTCCCGTGGCCACTAGTCCACTCACACCAAAGGTAGACTATTGTCATTACTCATACATTAAACACCCCCCCCCCCTGCCTCTAGCCATCGCAACTGATTGGCTGACAAGTGACGACATCACATTTATCTGTCTATTTCAGACCGAAATAGGATTTATCCATGACTCTGGCTGTCACCTGATGATGCCAGTTGTAATTACTGGCGAAACGTCGTACTCGAATTGTAAATGTTGTGGAATTACTCTCCAACACTCCGGTGTGCTGCACAAGTAATGAATTACCACGTTTTGTTTAAGTGACAAACCTTACTTAATGGCTGTGTCGGGTGGTGGCGGGTTTAACGACACATTTATATTTACGCGATCTAACACAAAAACATCTATTATGGAGGTGTATTGTCTGCTTATTTATTTCATACCCAGTTATCACTATTTTTTTTTAAAACCAACGCTTCAAATTCAAAACAACGTCATGTCTCTATCCACACACACACACGTTAAGAAAATCACCAATACACATGGATTATATCAATCATCTCAACGTGAGTTTATCTTCAGAGATATTTAATTACTACTACTACTATCATGATCAGAATATTTATTTAGACTGGAGGAATCCGATGACCTATGAAGCTCTTTTTCACAGATGTCCAGTTAGTGAAAGCCGATGGGTCACTGTGAAGGCAAAATTGTATTTTGGTTTGTGCCAAAACGTGTTGGGCAACCCTTGGGGCGTAGATATGTAATAGGTCATGCTAGTAATAGCAACCCGGATTATGGGTTCCTAGTTGAGGTATATGGGTTCCTAGTCCAGGTTTATGGGTTCCTAGTTCAGGTTTATGGGTTCATAGTTCAGGTTTATGGGTTCGTAGACCTGGTATGTGGGTTCCTAGTCCAGGTTTTTGAGTTCCTAGTCCAGGTTTGTCATTTTCTAGTCTAGGTTTGTGGGTTCGTAGTTCAGGTTTGTGGGCTCGTAGTCCAGGTATATGGTTTCGTAGTCAAGGTTTGTGGGTTCCTAGTCCAGGTTTGTGGGTTTGTAGTCCAGATTAATGGGTTCGTCATCCAGGTTTATGGGTTCGTAGTCCGGGTTTGTTGGTTCCTAGTCCAGTTTAATGGGCTTGTCGTCCAGGTTTGTGGGTTCGTAATCCAGGTTAATGGGTTCTTAGGCCAGGTGTGTGGGTTCGTAGTCCAGGTTCATGGGTTCGTTGTCCAGGTTTGTGGGTTCGTAGTCCAGGTTTGTGAGTTCATAGTCCAGGTTTATGGGTTCCTAGTCCAGGTTTATGGGTTCGTTGTCCAGGTTTATGGGTTCCTAGTCAGGTTTGTGGGTTTCTAGTCCAGGTGTGTGGGTTCGTATTCTAGGTTTGTGAGTTCCTAGCCCAGGATTGTGGGTTCGGCGTCCAGATTTGTGGGTTCCTCGTTCAGGTTTGTGAGTTTGTAGTCCAGGTTTGTGGGTTTCTGTTTCTGTTCGAGATTATGGGTTCTTAGTCCAGGTTTATGGGTTCGTAGTCCAGGTTTGTGGGTTACCATGGTGACTGGGTAACCGAGGTAATGTAATTCCTTACACTAGAGCCCATGCCAACTACGCTACACTACCGACACAGGTGTTTTACCAAAAGATCTGCTTTTCGTATATCTCTATCCTGGGATGAGCCCAAGATATGCCTCACATTCCAACGAAACCCGATCAGCAATTTGTCTTTGGAAGACATCTCTCAGCTTTTGAATTTTTTCATGGGATTATATGAAATGCGCAAGTGGGGAAACGTAAAGTGTTTCCCTTCAGGATGCCAGGGCTTCATCAGTGCTCATATACATTGAGGCCTTGGCAGCACCCGCAGTCATTACTGTTGGGAGAGAGTTGCTTAATGACCTTTCTCGGAGCCATCCGCTCGGAGCTTAGAGGCGCAGCCCTGCAATTTCCTGCCCGCATTACTGACAGCAGAAATGACCCTACACTAGAGGGGGGGGGGGGGGGGGGGGGGGGGCTCTAGACTGCCACTCTTAAGAGCGGTAATTCTTTGGCCTACTCTTCTACGCTTGGCCAAATGTCCCCGAAAACAGGTGAGAGTACCTACATTTTGCTCCACCACTTGTCACCTGCTCATCGACGAACTGATGTGCACCCATTTATCCTGCGGTGTGGATATGGGGTCGGAGGATTCACGAATAAATCTGCCACGTTGTTGCAACTGCCGTGGCGGCAAATTAAAACGGGCAACATCTGGAGTCCAAGTCGGGTGTGAGAAGCATTCCACTGCAGTAGAATGAATGCTTTGTGGCACACATGTGCGTCATGATCAGCTCTACACGGGGTATTATTATTATTATTGCTACGCTTGTTTATCCAGAGTCTCATCATGAATTTTCAGGAAGGTCGTTCGAAGTTTTCAGAGAAGGGGCGATGATAGTGCGACGTGGAATCGCAGTGGAGTGCGGAACAGTGGGAGAACATGCAAAACTCAGACTCACTCTGCAGAACATGGGGAGAACATACAACACTCCACAAAGAAAGGTTCCAGATCCGGAATTCAAACTCAGGTCCTTCTTGCTGCGAGGTCACACGTGTTACCACTGCACTACCCTGTGACATGCACTCGCAGTGTTTGCTGGATGTCGCAAAGTGAGTGGCAAAATAATAATTGCGTCGTAAACAGTGAGCTAATAGGACTATTAGCTTGGCATTTTCAACAAATTGCGGTTTTGATTAAATGACATTCGGTGGATTACAGTTTGACGTCTTTTGGAAAATAGGAAAATCAATGTGCGGAGTTTTGACGATGCCAATCATGCGCAAAGTGTGTTTTAGAAGTGCAAGGCTGTGTTAAGTAAATTACTTCGTACGGTCCCAAGGAAATTGAGAAGTTTTCTCTTAGTTTTGAATCTTGTGATTTAGGTATCGAATATTTTTAGTTGGTTTTATCCCTGTATATTACTTTCGAGTGTATATATGTGTATGTAGGGTGTGGTAACCGGCCTACGAGGGGTAAAATACGTTTTTGTCCTGGTGCTACCAGAAGTGACGCCCCCGTGATCAGGTTGACTGCAGACTGTCGGCCCTCCCCTCGAGGCACCCTTCTGCGACTGCCGCTGGTGTCTCTCCAAATCATCGGAGGTTTATTGAGTGAACGCTCTCACACGTGACTGCCCATTCAAGCTCGAGCGACAGACATGCAAGACAAGTGAGTAAATGAACATGTTTGTCAATGTGCGAAAATTTAAGAAGAGCTTTTTTTAGCCTTTGTGGCAATAAAACAGGAGGTGCACTGTTTGGTTCTTTCGGTAAAGTCACGTAAGGTACAAAAATAATAGATCGCGACATTTCGTTCGCAACACAAGAGTATGGATTCCTGCAGTCACGAAAGCTTCAAATCGAGATTACAACAGGAGGTGTTAAGATGTCCAAACACGCAATAGAAACCCTTTGCGAGGAATCAAGTTTACTGCATTTACCACACACAGTGCTTTTGGCGAAAATGCAAACAAACATGCTCTGATAATATCCGCATTGTCTTTGAAACTGATGGGCCTACACCAGAGGCAACGTTCTTTATGGACTAGTCTCACCAGGGTCAAACAAGACTATGCACTATCATAGCATGCATAGCCGGGTGTGAGCAGCTAAAATACTGGTCTATTGAGTGTTTGAACATCGTAACACCTGTTTTATTGCAGAAAGGGTAAAACCTTTTCTTATTTATTCATACTTTGATACTGGCAAAAAAAGTGGCCCATGTTTGTCAATGTTACATTGTGTGAGTGAGTGGACGGCAGCCCCAAGTAACCACGAAGACACGTGACAGCCTCCTCCGCCTCCAGCAAGTGCAGGGCGGTCATGTATTCACCGTATGTTGAACTTCTTTTGCACCGTACATAGCTAACCGTGCTAATCGGAGGTTGCGGGGGAATTTTACAAAACGGAATACGTGGTGAACATATATATTCCATTTAATTTTATGTGAGCTTTGGCAAAAACAATATATATTCTTGGTTCTTTCGGTGTGGTTTTCACACCTGATGATGATTGCTTGTGTTGCAGTCGAAACGTCGTGAGAATTGTATTTTTTATATTTTTATTATTTTATTGTTTCCCTTCTACGTGACTTTACCGAAAGAACAAAGAATATGAATCCCTGCAGTCACGAAAGCTTTAAATGAAAAAAAAAATAACAATATAATTCATGGCATCTTTTGTACACAGTAAAAAAGTTTGGGTTTTTTTTAACGACATCTGAACCCTTTTTACTAACCCTCATTGACCACCGCGGTGAAGTATGGTCAAACAACCCGCTATGGCCGACACGGCGCGTGTGACGGCCTCCATCCGGCGGTGTTTCCAGAATGGGCTGAACATTACACGTTAAACAATGTCATTTTAAGACACTACCACTTAATGTAATAGCATTACAGAAAGGGGCTTGGAATGTAATAATGTGGTAAGATGTCCTGTCTCTTAAAATGTTTTATGGGCACTATAACAGTGGGGATTTTTTTCTACATATTTTTTAACACGAAGCCAGTAAAACCTCTCGACGCCACACTCGATGAAAATAGAATATGGTGTGAGGCCAGAAACGCTACTTTAAATGAATAGATTCATATAAAAAATAAACAAAAAACCCCCACTACAGTTGGACCAGAGCCTGCACGCTTATTCAGCTGTGCTCAGTAAGCCGTAAAAAAAACATTTGTAGTCGGGATCCATTGCATCCAGCTGTCACGTGGTCTGCCTGTGATCATGTTATGCTCTCTTCTTTCAACATTATTCTTTCACAGAAATGCATTAAAGATTTGCGAGATTATTTTTGTCATTATTATTATTCACGAAGGTTCTACTAAGTGTGTGCAGTAGGGGGCGACATTGGTCTTGCCTGTAATCCTAATTGAGTAATTTTCGGGTAAGTTTTGAGCATTGGGATGTTCGGCCAATCCCCAGTTGCATTGCATACTAAAATAACACCAAATAAATATTTAATACTCCCAAATACAACTGTCAGCAGTGGCAGAACACGCGTGCCAACAAGGACACGCAATAGAGTTTTATATTGTTGAAGTTTTGTGAAAAACTAATGAATGCTGGCCAAGACTAATTAGATAATCTATCGAAATTTAGATATTGTCTTTTCCGAGACCAAGGTACTTTGCAATCCTTCGGGCTACCATCAAAGATTTGTCCATGAAGCCATCCAGATTTATAAACACAGACATAACTTCAACCGAGAAGATGGATACAAATAAGCAATCATTGGAAGGACGTGATGAACCAGGTAAAGTTTTTACTGCTTTGGTGTTCCCTTCCTACCTGCCAATATTAGCCGACTCTCAAATTTCCGGGCCCTAGCCGATCTCGACCCTCGCCGAGCTCACATTTACAAGCAAATTTTTCTTTCCTACTGCCACTCTCCTGCTCGCTCCTACATTAACAATAGCTGCCCCGCCCATCTCTAAACCTTTATAAACAGCCTGCCTCAGCAGATTCCCCCTCTTTTTTTCACCTGAAGACGGTTGCTTGTGTTGCAATCGAAACGTCGTGCTCTGTTATTTTTTTATACCCACGTGACCTTTACCGAAAGAACCAAAGAGTATGGATTCCTGCAGTCACGAAAGCTTCAAATCAAGACTAATTTTAACCGTTCGGATAGCGACAGACTTAGTGCTGCTTGGAAGAGAATCATCAAATAATGCATAGTTTAAATGCATGCCTATACAGGTCACCATTTAAATTGCACGCAATCGACAGGAGGTAGAGGAACAATGGGCTTGCATAATGCGCATGCATAACGTAGGTTAATTACCATATAAATGACCCAACCGGCAATGAATAACCATTGCCATGAATATGCATTTACCCACCCCCCCCCTCCACATCTACCCCTATATTTAAGGAATGAAACAGGAGGATTTCTAGTTAGTTGTGAATACGGGCGAAACGTCGTACTCAGATTATAAATGTTGTGGCTTGGCTCTCCAACACCGCGGTGTGCTGTAGTAGTAACGGATTGGCACGTTCTGTTTACGTGACAAGCCATTCTAGTTGGCTGTGTCGGGTGGTGGCGGGCTTAACGACACATTTATGATTTTTCGCGATCTAACCCAAAACAACCTGCATTATGGATGGGTTCTTTTTGTTGTTTTAGCTACAGGAGGAAACCATACATCTCGGAGAAATCCCATGGAGAACGTACCAACTCTACACAGAAAGGCACCTTACCCGAGTTGGGAATCAAACCCAGGGCATTCTTACTTTGGAGTCACGAGTGTTACCACAGCACCACCCTGTCGCAACATCGTTAACTTAAATTATGATACAGGGTGCTTCAAAAATAAATGTGAATACTTCTGAGAATTCGCAACAGCAGGTGACATGTGCTGATGGAGACGACCTGGAGAAGATTCCAGGCTACGTGTTGACAACGATCGTGAACAAGTGTGGAGACTCTTTGACTTTTTGAAGCTATTAACATTCCATATGTTATCAGTGTTTATCCGTTCTTTATCCATTAAAAACGATAGTCCCATTCAACTGTTAGCATTTTTTTAAGCACCCTGTGTATATAAATGATATACGTTCGTTGAATTTAAATGTTCGATATACAGTTGTAAACAAATGTGATTGATTTATTGAGATTTCTCATTATTATTTGTATTATTCTCATGAAAGTGCAAGGTCATCACCAGACGACTTGGTAGAGCGGTGTTCTTCAGTGCAAGGCCACTGGCGGGCCACTGGTGGGCCCCCTGGTGGCCTTTAGTGCCGGGCTCCTGACGTGAGCCCCCCCCCCCCCCCCCCCCACAATCGATCATACACAAATTGTGAAACCACACCACCCCCCCCCCCCCCATAATCACCGTGCTGCTGTCAACCCCCCCCCCCCCCAATGGTTTCATACGTGTGGCAGCATCTTCACACACTGATGATGTCTTAATGGCTCGAGTGCACCCCCCCCCCCCCCCCATCTCTGAAAATCAGTACAGAACACTGCGGCAGGACTGATGCAATCGGTCAACCCGTACCCTTGGACGCCTCGACTAGTACGCACCTGCTCAGCAAGCTCAATTGTTTTGCCACGTTTATCTCGCGAATAAATTACCGAATCGATTCTTCCAGCACCATTAGAAGACGCCCTCGGCTTTCCGCATCCAGTGACCCTCAGCCTTGCACCACCCAGCCGCCTCCAACTCGCCCCGCCTCGAATTCAGGGCGCTGGCAAGTGGCTCGGATTTAAGCCGTACAGCAGCGGCATCTGAAGTCGTCTCGAGATGACACCGCCAGCGGAGCCGCAACACACGTTCCCCTGCATTATTGATGCCGGGGGAATCAAATTGTTGAATTGAAGCACGGAACGATTCCCAAAATGAAAATCGTGCCAAATTGTTTCAATCGCGAGCTGAATTTTTTCCTTCTCCCTCTTCTTCAAAGGTGGCTTTTGCATTGGGTGCAATCATCCGGCGCCGATGGTGAGAACGTGACTCCAGCAGGGGGTGGCGGTGGGTGCTGGCTGCTATTCATTGGGGTTCGTGCGGCACGTGATCGGGCTAGAGCAGGGAGGCCGGCAAATGAAAGCGAAAGCAAAAACAAAAGAGGCCTTTTTTTGGGTTCTAATTCTGTAAAAAAAACAAATAAACCAACTCAACATTTCAAGAGCCGCAGTGCAATGTGGTGAATACAAGAACGGCCGGGGCCTTAAAAAATCACGGCCATGAGGCGAGTCCCTTAAAGAGCCACCGCATGCGGCTCTGGAGCCGAAGGTCGCCGACCCCTGCCCATGGTGAACTGGACTGCCATGGTGAACTGGACTGCCATGGTGAACTGGACTGCCATGGTAAACTGGACTGCCATGGTAAACTGGACTGCCATGGTGAACTGGACTGCCATGGTAAACTGGACTGTCATGGTAAGCTGGACTGCCATGGTAAACTGGACTGCCATGGTGAACTTGACTGCCATGGTAAACTGGACTGCCATGGTAAACTGGACTACCATGGTGAACTGGACTCCCATGGTGAAAGTAACTTCCATGGTGAAATGGACTTCTATGGTAAACTGGACTCCCATTGTGAAATGGACCTCGATGGTAAACTGGACTCCGATGGTGAACTGGACTTCCATGGTAAACTGGACTCCGATGGTGAACTGGACTTCCATGGTAAACTGGACTCCCATGGTGAACTGGACTTCCATGGTAAACTGGACTCCCATGGTAAACTGGACTTCCATGGTAAACTAGACATCCATGGTAAACTAGACTTCCATGGTAAACTGGACTTCAATAGTAAACTGGACTCCCATGGTGAACTGGACTTCCATGGTAAACTGGACTCCCATGGTGAACTGGACTTCCATGGTAAACTGGACTCCCATGGTAAACTTGACTTCCATGGTAAACTAGACTTCCATGGTAAACTAGACTTTCATGGTAAACTGGACTTCCATGGTAAACTGAACTTCCATGGTGAACTGGACTTCCATGATAAACTGGACTCCCATGGTAAACTGGACTCCGATGGCAAACTGGACTTCCATGTTGAACTAGACTTCCATGGTAGACTGGACTTCCATGGTGAACTGGACTTCCATGGTAAACTGGACTCCCATGGTAAACTGGACTTCCATGGTGAACTAGACTTCCATGGTAAACTAGACTTCCATGGTAAACTGGACTTCCATGGTAAGCTGGACTCCCATGGAAAACTGGACTCCCATGGTAAACTGGACTCCGATGGCAAACTGGACTTCCATGGTAAACTGGACTCCCATGGTGAACTGGACTTCCATGGTAAACTGGACTCCCATGGAAAACTGGACTTCCATGGTAAACTAGACTTCAATGGTAAACTAGACTTCCATGGTAAACTGGACTTCCATGGTAAACTGGACTTCCATGGTAAACTGGACTGCCATGGTGAACTGGACTCCCATGGTGAACTGAACTCCCATGGTAAACTGGACTCCCGTTGTGAAATGGACCTCGATGGTAAACTGGACTGCCATGGTGAACTGGACTTCCACGGTGAACTGGACTTCCATGGTAAACTGGACTTCCATGGTAAACTGGACTTCCATGGTGAACTGGACTCCCATGGTAAACTGGACTGCCATGGTGAACTGGGCTTCCATGTTGAACTGGACTCCCATGGTGAACTGGACTCCCATGGTAATCTGGACTCCCATGGTAAACTGGACTTCCATGGTAAACTGGACTCCCATGGTGAAATTAACTTCCATGGTGAAATAGACTTCTATGGTAAACTGGACTCCCATTGTGAAATGGACCTCGATGGTAAACTGGATTCCGATGGTAAACTGGACTTCCATGGTAAACTGGACTTCCATGGTAAACTGGACTCCCATGGTGAACTGGACTTCCATGGTAAACTGGACTGCCATGGTGAACTTTACTTCCATGGTGAACTGGACTTCCATGGTAAACTGGACTTCCATGGTAAACTAGACTTCCATGGTAAACTGGACTTCCATGGTAAACTGGACTGCCATGGTGAACTGGACTCCCATGGTGAACTGGACTCCCATGGTAAACTGGACTGCCATGGTGAACTGGACTTCCATGGTAAACTGGACTCCCATGGTAAACTGGACTCCCATGGTAAACTGGACTCCGATGGCAAACTGGACCCCCATGGTGAACTGGACTCCCATGGTGAACTGGACTTCCATGGTAAACTGGACTGCCATGGTGAACTGGACTTCCATGTTGAACTGGACTCCCATGGTAAACTGGACTCCCATGGTAATCTGGACTCCCATGGTAAACTGGACTTCCATGTTAAACTGGACTCCCATGGTGAAATTAACTTCCATGGTGAAATGGACTTCTATGGTAAACTGGACTCCCATTGTGAAATGGACCTCGATGGTAAACTGGACTCCGTTGGTAAACTGGACTTCTATGGTAAACTGGACTCCCATGGTAAACTAGACTTCCATGGTAAACTGGACTTCCATGGTAAACTGAACTCCCATGGTGAACTGGACTTCCATGGTAAACTGGACTCCCATGGTGAACTGGACTTCTATGGTAAACTGGACTCCCATGGTGAACTGGACTTCCATGGTAAACTGGACTGCCATGGTGAACTGGACTTCCATGGTGAACTTGACTCCCATGTTGAACTGGACTCCCATGGTAAACTGGACTGCCATGGTAAACTGGACTGGACTCCCATGGTAAACTGGACTTCCATGGTGAACAGAACTTCCATGGTAAACTGGACTTCCATGGTGAACTGACCATGGGAGTCCATGGTAAAATGGGAGTCCTGCCCAAATAACAAGAAGACCTTCGACTTAAAGCTTTCGTGAATGCAGGAATACATATTCTATGGGTCTTTCGGTAAAGCCACGTTGATAGAAAAATAATAAAAATACCACGTCGTTCCAATCGCAACACAAGAAATCGTCACCTGAAGACGATTGCTTGTGTTGTGATCGAAACGTCGTGATACTGTATTTTTTTTTAAAAAAATATATCTACGTGGCTTTACCGAAAGACCCATAGAATAAGAAGAGCTTTTTTTTCAAATTTCAAGAGCCGCCACCGCAGTCCCTTCAAGAGCCGCCACAAATTGCTGACCTCTTGGCGAGAATGTCCTTCCGACCCCCCCCCCCGCCCCCCGTATCGTAACACGTCACATTCACTTTTAGTTTGGAGCCGCCTTTATTTTGTCGCAACGTGAGCTCAGGGTAGCGGCTCCTGCATCACTCGCCACATGTTGGCTGTGACACACGCGGAGATTGCGTCCGGGAAACCCCTTTGGAAGAACAAGTAAAGCATTCGTCCGCCGTGATGGGGATGCCGCTGCCAGTGTGTGTCTCCTGCTCTCGGTTGGTGTGTCTCTGTGTGTCTCTGTGGGTCTCTGTGCGTCTCTGTGGGTCCCTTCCTTCCGGTATTTGGAAGCCACTGGAGCTATGGATACTCTTTGGTCCTTTCGGTAAAGTCACGTCGAAAAATAATAATAGATGACGACGTTTCGATCGCCACACAAGCGATCGTCCTCAGGTGGGATAGTGAAACAGGCTGCTGAGACAAGTCCTTATATATATACAGAGCCGAGAGGGGGGGAGGGTGGGTAGCCGCATCGGGCCAGAGGGTGGGGGCTGAAGATTGTGCCTAAGCATATATAAGGAGTTGTTTCAGCAGCCTGTTTCACTATCCCACCTGAGGACGATCGCTTTCAGTTTCAGTTTCATTTATTTGATATAGCCCTGTGAGCCATTCGGCTCTTGAATCGGGAGCAACCGCAACAAACAAAAAACAAAAAACATGAACAAGAAAACATCTTAAAGTGATTATGTGACTGTGCAAACAGAAAATCCAGGACAAAAACATCAAAATATTCCTGAAGTAGCACCGTACACCAACGCTGTGTGCAAAAATCCCAGTGGGATGCAAGTCAAACAACAACAACAACAAGACAACTTGGATTATAGCCATCAGTCTAACTCCGTACTACAACAAACAAACATGGCCAAACCAAACAAACGAAACGTCGTGATTTATTCTAATTTTATACCCACGTGATGACTTTACCGAGAAAACCAAAGAGTAATGGATTCCTGCAGTCACGAAAGCTTCAAATCAAGATTGGAGCTATGCACTTTTAAATCACCCAGATTGAAAAACTCAATTTTTTTAGAACAGCTTTGTTGTCCTTCCCGCCGCACCTCCGATTAGCGAGGTCGGCTCCGTACGGTGCGAAAGAAGTTCAACGTACGTAAACCATAAACGCCGCGTGCTGGTCGGTTCCAGACAACG